TAAAGGCTTTAGAAAAAGCCTCCATTATAACTGTATCTCTAAGTGTTAATGGATTATTGAAACAATTTATATTAAGGATCTTATTCTTATTTTGATAATTTGAGATAAAAATTTTATACGAATTTTCGTATACATTTCGTATTTGAAATGCCAATAACAATATCACAACAATTATTGATCAGAATCACTTAGGGGGTAATTGTAATCAATTTGGTTTAATAATTATAATCTAAATCGATTGCGAAAGGGTTGTATTTCGAAGAAAAAGTTTCCTTCGAGATTTGTTGTGTGAGCTAGTATACCTTTTTCGATATTGATTGGGTAGTTTGATACTAGTTTGACTAGACGGAATACGTATTATCTAATATTTGAATCTAATTGGATTTTTGTAGGCTTTATACCTGCTTTTACTTCTATTGGAAGGATTGGGGCAGTTTTGAATACTCCTAATATCTTTCGAAGGGCTAGGTTTTGAAGTGATTACATTATGTTCTTAAATGGGTTTGACCTCTCCACCAAATCACTGATCCGTAATCGGTTATACTGATCACACATGCTATATATAGCTATCTGAGAGCTTTAGGACTAAGGCCCTTTTCGATATTAGTTAATCGAGTTATTCGATAGAAGGCTCCTTTCGCTTGTATAATCCGAATATTAATATATTAATTGAATTTGAGACTCGGATCGAACCATATTTCCAATTATCTAATTAGAGATTGAGATATAATTATTTCCGAATTAAATAATGTGATTGGATAGTCTTTTGTTAATCTGGATGATGAAAAGTGTATTAGTTCTGTTTTTGCTAGGTCGAATTGAATAGTATTCTTTAAGCTGAGTTTGTAAATTTATTTTATAACTTTTTCTAATAATTTGATATTCTTTTTTTATATAAATGAGTTGATAATTAGGGTAATATTATCAATATAGGAAAGAAATTTGATTGAATTGAATAGAAAGAGATCCCTAATATATATAAGAAAGAGGATTGGAGAAATTGGACTGTTTTGTGGTATTCCGGTCGAAATTGGCTTAAAAGATTCGATTTGATTATTAAAAGATAGTTTTAGTTATTTTTGTTAAAGAAATAAAGCTATCCAGACTATAAGATTTGTAGATAGTTTTAGTTTCTTATAAATCTTTAATAATCGATTTTTCGAGATATAACTAAAGGCTTTCTTTATATTTATAAATAATATTGAGATCTTCTTATTAGCCTATTTGTTTCTTTCAATTTCTATAATCAATAGAAATATGGTATCGATTATTAATTTCTTTTAACAGCTTTTTATTTGATTTTTATATAAGAAATAAATAGTTTTCACTAAATATCCTAATCGTTAAGCTAGAATCCTCTTATTTATTTTTCCAAAGCAATTTAACAATGTAATAACTCTGTATGCTTTTGGAATTGAATAATCTGGTTTTGAGACTTTCTTTAAAATAGCCCTAGTAGCTTGTTTTCAGTATTAAGAATGATATTCTAGATTAATAAGTTTATTGAAGAGAATAAAAAAGGTTTGTAAGATTGCTTTATAGGTTTTTATAATAATCTCTTGAGTGATTCTATTTGGGCTAGGGGTCTTTCCTTATATCTTTGCTGAACAGGCGTTGTTTAGTTCGATTTGAAAAAGGTTAGATCATTCCCATTTTCTGGATTATTTATACCCTTCCCATTGTGGTTTTGGAGTGATAGGCAGGAATGAATTATATTATAACTACTTTCTAGAATATATTATAATACAAAGTAGGTTCGCTATACCTACAAATGCTTTTCCAGCTCACTTATAATAAAGCCACTAGTACTAGACTTTTATAGAATCTTCTGATTATATTAAATCATCTTTTATATGATTACCTTTGGAAGTTTTGGTTAAAATTAAAACCATTTCTTTATACCTTTATTCCTATTTGCTCCTTAAGTTTATCTAATATCTTTATTATATCCTCTGCCCTATAATATCTGATTATAGATCGATATACGCATTCATCCTCTCGAGCTATATAGATAGTATTATTATTGCTATCATTATATACTATACCTTGCAGCTAATAGCTGTTTTGTATTACCTTATCGAATCTCTTCTATACAACAAGGCTAACTATATCTTATAGACTTATTATTTCAAACCCTTAACTAGGCAGTTCTTTTATAATATTTTCAACCCATTAACTAAAACTCTACTTGTAAAATCCATTTTCTTAATGTATAGTTTGTAATCGAAAGTAGAATATTAGGAGTGTATTGTATATATATATTATAGGATTGGCCTTTGTCTAAAATCCTTTGTTATTGTAATATCAATCAAGTATTATTAAGTATAACTTGCTAAAAGCATTTTTTCTATACTGGAGCTCCTTTACTGTCATACCGCTTTCATATACTTAAAAATAAAGTGCTAAAAACATTCCTTCTCCTATTCCATATATATTCCTATCAGCTTTAGTAGATATTATTCTAGCCTTTATATACTTTTTATTATTTTTTTATTATTTATAAATATCTGATTCAGTATACCCGTAGATTATATATATTATTGAATTATGAAAACTCTATACACTAACGCCCCAGAGATATTTTATCGATTTTTGTTTATCAAATTAAGGATATCGGCTCTATTTCTAATATAAGCTTCAATCAGATTTAGCTATATTATAGAAGCTTCATTATTTACTGTTTTAAGGGCTAATTCTACTTCACAAATGCTCTACCGTGATATACTTTGGTTTTGCTTTTTATATAGATTTGTAAAAGTATAGTTCTATATTAATCCTGTTTTTATTTTTCTTTTATTATCGAATAATTTTCATCTTTGTTTTGTTGATAATCCTTTATTTCGAGTATTTTTACAATTACCCTTTAATAATCAGTTGTGTATACCTTTGTTTTTAGTATGGCCTTTAATTAGTATACAATCACCGTCCGGCTTCAGCTGACTCTATTTAGCTCTTCGATTGTACGATCGAAGGTTTGTAGGATATATCACGTACAGGTGAGAGTCATTGTATCCCTCAGTCTATTAGTGGATTTATAGCTGTACGGATAATTCCCAAAAGCTATTCATTCACTTCGACATTCTCTTCATATACTAAATGCTCTAGATTCACATTGGAACTTTCAACAATGCGAGACTCATTAGATGGACGTAACTAACGTCTCGACTTTGTCACTACAGCAAATGATTCATTCACCAGTTAAGAATTATCGTTTAGAAACAGATTGAAAATTGGTGGGGTCGGGCTTCGGCTATTCAATCTCATTGGTCGCGTCCCACGTCCGCCAGAATCAAAAATTCAACAATTTCAAAAAAGCACCAAAAATCAACGCAACGAGATATCTAAAACAAATGTGCAAAAGATAAATCTCCCTCGCGTGGGGTCGAACCACGAACCTCTCGATTATTGTATTTGAATTATTTCAGATAACAGTCGAACGCGCTAGCCAATTGCGCCACGAGGGATGTTTGATGGTGAAAGTGCAGGAGATTCAAAAATATATACACATTTGAAAGATTATCACACTCCGAAGAGTATGGTGGGGGACAATAAGAAACGTGATCAAACGTTGGCCGATCCTTCCCCACCACATGCAGGAAAAATTGATGTGTGGAGCTAGACGACCCTCAACCCCATCCCGGCTCGGCTAACCCCTTCATTCACCCACTATCAATCCACCAGCCGTGGTACCTTGAAAAAAAAGAAGACTCTTCAACTACGAGTATTTGATTGAATGGATAAACTTCAATTGAATAAAATCCTCTATTCTAATTCTATAGTTTGTCCCACCCAGGCACGGATAGTCACTATATCCAGCGAATTAGTTGATGAGAAGTAACCCCAGCAAAAACAAATCTGACTATATTATCTTAAAGACTCAGACCTAGAAGTCCCGCACCCTCTCCTTTCCCCCCCACCAAAAGCCAAAACGTTCCCACCTCTTCACAATTCGCACGCTCTCTTCCCTTCATGTCCCCAACTGTGAACTCTTGCGGTTTTCCACAAGCCGACAAAAGCAAAAACATCAGCGATTGCAGGAGGTATTGAACCACACCCGATTTGAACGGATAACCTTTCGATCTGGAGTCGAACGCGCTACCGTTGCGCCAGCGGTCCTTAATCACATAATTGTATATTCGTGTGGTGTGATTCTTCGGTCATAATGCCATTTTCTCACCCCTCATTCCATCTCCACCCATTTTCATTTCCATTTTCAATATGAATTTCAACGCTCCACTCCGCATCCCCACCCCGCCAAGTATGTTTAGTTTACCCTCCGATGCTTGGTATAGAATGATAAAAGACTTGTTCTTGGAACATCACAAGAATCGCTTCCTTAGCTCAGTGGTAGAGCGGACGATTGCAGTAGCACATAGCTATTATCGTCAGGTCAGTCGTTCGAACCGGCTAGGGAGCTTCAATTGCTCCGCGACTCTCGTTTTGCCCCTGCCAAAGTCATCATTCTTGAGATTTTGTCTTTTTTTGCATCTTTTGTAAGCATTTATTGAATATTTGTGAACCTATAGGTGGACAGTCATTGTGAACTTGGATAACACATCAATAATGTCATTGTGGGCATGTGTTGTGTTTTGCTATGCTAGCATCAGATCGTCATATTACTAGCAGTAAAATGGATTCTCATTTTACTATTGTTCGAATGAACACCCCAAGTGTGTTCTAAACGGATATCGAAGACCATTCTCAATCTCAGTTGCACTTCAATTCTATTCGTCGAATGGGAGAATCTTCTCTTTCTTTGCAGGCTAGGAAACCATAAACGCAGCCAGCTAGAAAGATAGCTCCTCATCGATGACAAATTATACACATATAGACACTTTCCTAGGTAAGAAGAGAGGTCTCACATAGCCTCTCAATATTTATACTCTTTGTCTCATGAAAGAGGATTTTATAAATGAATAGTCAGGAAGATATTACATGGATGCCTTCCAATATCCCACCATAAAACAGACATTCGAAGCTTAGCTCAAGACAAACCATAATATGATTCAATAACTCCATTATTTTATTGAAACCCCTCCTCAAATTATGCTTAACACGCAGTTCCCAATCGAACGATTAATATACACCTATTCACCCCTTTAATCAATAATACACGAACAAGAAGCAGTGATGATGCATATAATTCCATCCACCTATCTATCTAGAGCATTTCAGCAAACCACAAAAGAAATAGACATATTTCATGTCATCTATTCCAGTATCCATCCATCCACCCCAATCTATTCCCAACACCTTGCCAAAAAGACAACAACAAACTTCGAGCTACCTCAAACAAGTACTCTTCACCCAAAACGCCATGCAATGCTACCCACAAATTTGAATATCAATCCCCATCCAAATGAATCCCGCTATTATCTTACAATTACAGGCTCGTGAATACTACCAACCCTCCTACTGCAAATCTCTCAACTTTTTAGTTGCATAAGCAGCCCCAAGAGTACTAATTGCACCAATGAACAAACAAATACTAATAGCATTTGGACCGTCTGTCCCATGATGTTCCCCTTCCTTTGCATTTTGAGCCAACTCTGGACTTTTACCTGGCTCTAATATACTGAAAACAATCATACTGATAAAAGTTCCAATGAATTGTGGGATGGTAGTGTAGATGTTAAGGATACCGAAGTAGATTCCAGAAAGTTCACCAGTAGACGCAACGTCTTCCTTTTCTCCAACTGGGCCATGTTCGAGGCGTAGTAGGGAGGGTGATGGAGGACCAGTGGGTGACTCAAGCTCAATATCACGGTCGGCGGTGGAAAGGCGGCTATAAGATGGGAGACCGCTCATCTTGTTTACCTCGACACCAAGGAATGCATACGGTGCCCAAGATGCGACAGACCATGGCCTAGAAGGTGTTAGTTAATGGTAAGGTAATGAAATTATGTTTTTGAAAACTTACAATCCACAGAATGCAATCAACGAAGTTGCAAATCGAAATGAAGATGCAAATGGTGCTAAGAACATAGCTGATGAGAACATCAAATGACCAACAAACCAAGCTCCAAGAAGATCTGGCTTGTATTTGTTGTATGCTTGAACAAATCGAGCAATACTTGCTGGAGGTCGCTGAGTGAATTTGTCCTCATCGGGTGACTTGATCAGTAGAGGTAAAAGGAATGATCCAAAAGATGACACGAATGAGAACACAACGAGGGACATGCTTCCGATTCTTCCGATATCTCCAAGTGCATCTTTAGATTCTTTGATCTCGTGCGGAGCATCATACCTGAAGTAAGTTTCTCCAACAAATGTAGTACCATAGAATAGGAATGGGAACCATCCAATCCAACTCCAAAATTGACACCACAGAATGGCTTGAATCTTTGGAGGAACTGTCATTGTTGTTCTATATATTTGTCGTGTAATTTTGAGCAATCCAGATTGGGAGTCAGAGTCTTTGCTAGATATCAAAACACGTTCCGTTACTGCCCACGAAGTAACACACACACAAAATATGAGCGCGAACGCCGCAATTAGAATAAGCTTCTTGAATTGTGTGTCACCCATTGAGGGACCAAACCAAGCGACAAGATCAACGGTACCAATAGCATAACCGACCAAGTGCCCCATAGCGGCCATTCTGCTAGCTGGAAGATGTCAATGATTTTTCGATTAAGAGTGAGTGAAGCAAACTCACCCCATGCTGATCCTGCTTGTTGCTTTTGTATCGGAAGAGTATCCACGATCAGACTTCGACAACTCCATTGAACTATATTTATTAATATCCTCATCAAATGCCCAGGCTGAAATTTCAAACTTACCAGCATTGATGGCGAAATCCACCGCATAAATTGCCAACACTGCCAAAAATATTGTACAGCTCTTATTAAAATCCCCTTCTTCCACAAAATGAGATACGATTTCCTTTGTCCATCCCAGTACTAACAAGCATAATGCGACAAGTATAGAAGCCCCCACCATATATGGCCTTCTTCTACCCCATTTTGAACGCGAACGATCTGCCATTGCCCCCACAAGCGGTGCCATAATCAACCCAGATAAAGGTCCCGCAATCCATACTAAAGAGGTTTTCGATTTCGTGAGACCGAGCGAAAGTAAATATGGTGTACAATCTATTCGGGCCAATCAGTCAGTATTTCCCATGAACTCGAGCGATGTTCAACCTACAGGTCATTTCAATACCCCAAGTAAATCTGCACACCAAATCAGTCACTGTGATCGATTGCGATCATTTTCTTTCAGATTAAACCTACTGCAATCCAACCAAAGAAAAAGTCAACAATGCCATTCGCATCTGCTCCGTACTCCCCTTTATAGCCGGTTGCCCACTCCATGAAGCCATATCTGCTTTACTTTCGAAGTATCCCTCAAAATCAAGATCCCCTCCTCTAAGAACCCCTTCACTACTCTCGCCCAGACCTTCTACCACGCGACTACGAACCCTGTTTCTCGAGCGTCCTTGTCTTTCGTCGAATTCAAATTCCTCAGCTTGTTGTTGTCGCTCGTCAAAATTGATAGTCGTATCCCCTCTCTTGAAGTAATTGCGCTTCTGCCTCTCTCCTAATTCTCTCTTGTCGAAGGTCGAATTCGAATCTGCCGCGTCATCATCAATATTTATTGCCATGGCCATTTCGATTATATGCACATGCGCATGCGGATTTGAATACGAAATAAGAAATTCGTGTCGTATACCATTTGACAAAGTACAAACATGAGTACGTATTTCCTACGGATATGTATGTGGAATTGCTTTTGATGAGGAAAGGGATGAGGAATTTCAATGAACTTACTGAGCAATTTGGAATTGGAAAGGTCTCACATACTACTTCCCTATTTGCTTTCCTTCTGAGGTACTTCAATTGTGACACTCAATGAAGATTGAACGAGTGAAAGTGTGTAAATGTAACAAGAACGGAAAGTGCAAAGGGGGTAATGAGCTTAATATGACAGATAACGCCAAATTATATCTTACACATAAGGCTCCACGTACTCAGCCTTCTACAAAGACAATTTTCTAAATACGGTACAAAACAATAATAGCTTGGAATATCGTCCGTTACCTGCTGTATAAGGAGAATGGGTTTCATCGAGAGTAGATTGCAATGTTTCAATCTTCTCTATGGAGTACCTACCTTACCTATACGAGCTGTACCAAGAAAGACGAGGCTAGATCCGGGGTATATGGAGGTGGGAATCGGTTCATACTTTTGATTGGGTATCTTATGCACCTAGCTTATGCTTAGGTTGACGGGAGCTAGCAATTACAAGGCTGACACTTCTAACTATAATTTTGACATCTTATCTTCAAGATCTTTGACCCAGCCTTCTACAACTTTCATATTCCCTCCAATGACCGTTTCTCCTTGTTTGATTGCTTCCTCAACTTTCTCCAGTCCTTCTTGCCATTTCTTGATATCATTTGACATTTCGACTTGTCTTTGCTCGACTCTATCCAAGTTCTCACTAGCTGTAGCAGCATCTCCGTGAATAGCTCGTAATGATCGTAACCTGTCCAGTAAAGATGGCAAAAGAGGTGCGAGATTCTCGATAGTAGGCAAAGTTCCATAAAGTGCATTGATCTTTGAAATCTGTTCAGAGTCTTCTCCATCATCAGGGACAGTTTCTCCTCCAGCTGATCTTAAAGCATCTTTTGCAGCTCTGGCCGATTTTCGAGACTCCTCTAGTTTTTCGGCTTCTTGTGTCAATGTTCGAACTCTTCGGCTTATACTGTCAAGGGATGATGGCGTAGACTCGGTAAGGATTGAGACTTGTCTTTCGAGAATATCAAGAGTCGGTAAAACGGCTGTTGAGCTACTGGTAGAGTCCATTGTCGAATTAAGTCCAAGAACCTTTTCTAGAAGTGCCAATCGTCCATCGAAATCTGCTGCTTTCGCCAAAGCATGACTTTGTTGGTATGTAGGTGCATATGTAACAGTATATGTAGCAGGCTCTCCGGTTCCTTGTGAAATTTGTGATGGCCCGTTTGCTTTGATTCCAGTTCCTAGATCCCTCGCCAATCTTGCTCCAGCACTTGTGACTTGATCTCCTTGACTGACAGATATCCCATCCAATAATTTACTCAAGGAGGCAACATCATCTCCATCGTTGGACTCTTCTTCTTCACCCATATCCTTCTTCTCTTGGTTTCTCTTTCCATATTCTTCTTTAACTTCCTCGATTTCACGTCGCAATCTTGCGAGTTTTCGTTCCAAGCTTTCCCCATCATCATCATCACTGAAGTCGCCAAATTCTTCTGTGCCGTCTTGCCTCTTCCTATGTCGCCTGGAAGAAGCTTTGTATGATTTCCTTTTTGCCGTGACTCTATCGGAGAAGTCTACATCGCGTGCATCTACTTGTGCTGGAGAGAAATGTGAACGGGCCTCATCGGGCTGTAATCGCGCACGGGAAATACCTCCCACTTCGTCGTCGTCTTCATCGAAATCTTGATAAGAAGAAGATGTTGATTGGGAACGAGGTCTGCCAGTCTGAAGGGCGTTAGAAGGGTTGGAGGGAAGGATGATGTTAAGATAACCTACAGGCGCAGTTGAATTATCCTCTGTTAACTCAGGGGTTTCATAAATATCTGGTGCTGAATCCTAGAGGATGTTTGTCAAATGTTGAAGCTTTTATATATCCACTGAAGACATACCAAATCTGGCAATGCCGCATATTTTCTGTTGAGAGCAGCCATGATCGATATTCTGGAGCGAATGCCTCTGGTGAAGGACTAGGTACTGTTCAGAACATTTGGATGTGATATGATACCTGGTAGATATCGTGCCGTACCTACACGGAATCGCGGGCCTAATTGGTGAATCCCGCATGAACAGGGATGAAGAAGCTTGGACCATTTATATATTGAAGCTCTCATACTCTCGTGATAACGTATCTCGAGCGTATCAATTCAGCTGTACATGTAAAGAAAGGTAAAGACTTGTCACCGTACAAACCTTCAAAGATTTCTTATAAATGTACAATTTATTATATATTCAGAGAGCAATGAAGTTACAGTTCTTACTCTCTCATTTTGTATCTGGATAGGTAGTGAATGTTTCCACTCAATCCACGCGCCTATCTCATTTCACCACTCTTTCCTTGCCTTACTTTACTTATCATACCTACCGCGACGCGATCTTCAAGATGGATCAAACAAAATTAGATCTTAACGATAGAGGGAAAGCACAACCACGACGTGCTGGATTGACCAAGGATTATCCTCATAATCTCTTACAATCACTCAATCGACCAAAGAAGGAAGGACAACCTGCAATGCCAACAAAAGCCGCAACGACAACCCGTCCCAATGATGCAATTAAGGTTCGAAATTCTGGCGACGTTGGCGGCGCTCAAAATGCAGCATCATGCAAGCGAAGAAACAAGGGATCAGATAAGGAGAATGAACCAGGGGCATCGAAGTCCTCTATCATGAAGCCAATTGAAGTTGTGAATGAGGATGTTGATCGACCTCCAGATGATTCTGATGATGATGGAAAATATATCATCGACTCTTCTGAAGACGAATCGCCCTCAAGAATCAGCGCAGATATGACGAAGACCGTTTTTGGATCAAAAAATCAAAAGTCGAGTCAAACACCTACCACGTCTTCTTTTCCCATTCCAAAGGACTCAAGACAGCGGTCATCTGAACTAAAGTCAACTCATGGCAACAAAAGAAAGAATGAGAACGAGTCGGAACATGATCCAGTTGTGAATATTTTCGGAAACATGCAGAGCAGTAATAAGAAGCTTAAATCATACACAAAGGAGCATCCGGATCAGACCAGAATTTCAAGACGTACGTTCAACAAAACATTGATTTGCTTTCACTAATAAATAAAATAGCTGGTGGCAATAAACTGTCGTTGTTCAAGGATACCAAACCAAAGAACAAATCAAATAAGCCCTCCATGTATGGGAAGAAGAAGAATCCAGCGCCCGTCAACCAGTTCAGGAACTACAAAAGTAGATCTTCAAGTCTGGTCAGCGACAATGGAAAGCAAAAGCTTCAAGACTATACAGTCGATAGTCCAACGAAAAACAAAAGTCCAGTCAGAGGCTTTGTGCGCCCGGATTTCAGTGATGACGATTTTTCAGATTTAGATTTGTTCGGCAAATTGAAGAATTCGAAATCCGCGACCACATCAACGCAACCCAGACGATTTCAACGATACGATGATGATGATATATTGGATGGAGCGGAGGAACTGGCTAAGAAGCTAAATCCGGATGCTATTATCGGCATGGAAGATCATGAGAGGGAAGATGGTTCGGATATCGACGATTACACTGGATCTCGTTGTCCAATGTGTAACGAACCTGTAGCTGCTGAAGATTTGAAGGCTCTCGGAAAGATGAATACTAGGAAGCAGGAGAAATTTTGTTTATCTCATCAACGAAAAAGTGCTCGATCAAATTGGAAGTCTAAAGGATACCCTGATATCGATTGGGAAACTTTGGATTCCAGAATTTCCAATCATCATGCATTCATCAAGAAGATAATTGGAGGCGCAACTTGTCACTATCGAGAAGTATTTGATGAAAAGGTCAAAGCGGGAAAAGACCGAAATTTGATGAAGAGTTCTACGAATCTTATACCTGGCTATTATGGTTCTCGAGGTCTACGTTTGATTTCCGAAAACATCATGCACGAGTTTACGCCATTGTTAAAGTACAGAGCACCCCTCGACCGTCTCATCGCAGCAAGAAGTACAGCTGCATTTGTTGATTCAGTTGTCGTTCCTGAAGTTACAGTTTTGTTGATTAAGGAAGATATGAATGTCTCCGACGAGGAAGCCAGGACAATATTGACAGATAGCTCTGAGATGGGAGATTTGGTCAATGAGGAAATCAAGGATGTTGTAACGCTGAGACCGGAGGACAAGGAGTCCATCAGCAACAGTAATTATGAAGATGATGGTAATAATTTCAACTTTTAGCTGCTACAACGTAGCTCGGATTTTGGTTACAGCTTCACTTGTAGAGCTTCCAGGATTGTATAAAATCTCAAGCTGAGTATGTATGTGTATCCCTGGTGTCTCATGATGGGTCAATCACATTGCTTTAGAGGTTTGGAGATAAATCGGGCTAGCAATTTGGCTATTGTACATGGGTTGGAGTTATTGACGGGATGAGGCAAGATGAATAGAGGAAGATGAAGAAAAGAGCATACTATAGCATTCAGCTTGCGTACACTGTACATTATAAAGATACATAGATACCCATTCAGCGTTTTTTCGAACCTCACATGACCTCCATTTCCATGCATGTATGCAGTCTATCTTTCACCATCATTGATATTAAGAATATAAGAACCTTCTTCAATCCATACTTCTCTGATCATTTCTGAATAGCCATTATAATTGCCGGTCAACTCGGCTCGGTCGGCTCAGCCCAATCAACCAAGTAACCTTGCAATCCACGCACGGCTCCACCAACTTATTAGCCTCTCGAGCCTCTATCGTATACCAACCAAGATCCTTCACTGGGTATCCACCAATCACTCACAACCTCAAGAACCCCACCATAAAAAACTCTTACCCGCTTAACCTTACCCCTCCTTCATTATCCACCACTCAAACCTTGTGTTTTCAACTTTGAATATAAATCAATCCAACGAGCATTTCTTCAACAACAGAACAAAGCCTGCCCGGCTAGCTCAATCGGGTAGAGCGTGTGACTCTTATGATTTCAAAGATCTTCTGGTCCATCACAAGGTTGCGGGTTCGACCCCCGCGTTGGGCTCAATTCCCTTCATTGATTTTTTGAATTTTTGCATTTTATAGCTCTTCTAGGACTGTTTGAGATCTTTTTGTTGAAGGGATTTGATCGAGAGAGGTAGATAGAAGAAAGAACCAAAGATAAAGAGTTTATTTATTCTTTTAAGAGATAAAGTATTTATTAACTACGAATTAGTATAATATTAGTTAGAACTTGACTTTGAGTATGAGATTAAGAGATTTTTTTGATTTCATTATATAGAGAATAACGATATATGATTTCTCTTATATTAATCTTTCTATTTTGAGAAGATATAAATAAAGTCTTATAAATTTTTCTTCTCTCTCTCTCTCTCCCCCCTCTCTCTTCCCTCCATTATCTCCTCGTAAATCTATATAACCAATACTGACTCACTCACTCACCCCCTCCCCTCCCCAAAAGCGCAAACCCGTCCTTAAAAATCACAAAAGAAAACCTCCACAACCCCCCCCCCCCCTCTTCCCCGAGTTCACAATCTTCTAGCTATACCTAGATAGATACCTACCCACCACCAACACCAAATCCGAATCCACTCGGTCGAAACAATGTGATACTCGCCAGTATTCCCTTTTCCATTGCCGTTTTCTGAACAGTGATTTTACATTTCACTGTATATTACTCCTCGCCATAACGGCAAAGTAATCACCACTACTACCCCCACCACCAACCTCCCACTGTCATCCACCATCTCGTAGTAACGACCCCCTCTTCCTCTTCCTCTCCCTCTCCCTCTCCCTCTCCCTAAACACGCAAGATCTACTAAGATCCCGCAGCCAACAGGCCAATTGCAATTATCCGAGTCCACCTCAGATAGCATACTATTGATTTATCCCACTCCCCCCTCCAACATTAGATTAAATTATCATATCTCTAATCTCATGCCCAAAGAGAGAATCATTGCCAAAATCTGCACTGACAGGGAAGTCAACATGAGTGGCGCATTCCTAGAAAGAGATCTGAGAGATTTGAATGCCGAGCCCATCTGGGGTGTACATAATGGCTTCAAACAACTTCATTCACATCAAAACATGTACTCTTCATACAAAATTGGATTCACAATCGAAATTCCATTCGCCATCTGCATAAGTAGGTAGAGGTAGCTAGGTACTCGTACTCAAGACCAAGTCCATCCGACTAACCCTACAATAATCCATCCATCCATGCCTTTCAACCAACCCAATCATCCCATATCAGGAATTTAAAAACCATTCACGCAAAAAGAAGAAGTAGAATCATCGATAACCTGTAGCCCATACCCGATATTCACAATGTTATCCATCAAAAGGTACTTTTGATATTACCCCAGGCCAAGCTCGGAAGAATCCCCATACAACCCGGGCAACACAATTTTGTCGCCCATCTCATCCAACAATCGCCATGAGAAACGTAGAGGCCAATAGAACTTAATTTATTGAGTTGACGACTTCTTCTTCGCCGCTTCAGTTGCCTGTCTCTCAATTTGAGCCGCCGCCTCTTCAGCCTTAACTTCTCTAACCTTCGCCAATACCACTTCCCTAAAAATGGCTCCCTTGGCTATTTTACTCAAACTCCTCTTTTCTCCAGGAGATGTAGATCCTGAAGCTGAAGATGAACCAGTATTTCTTCTCTCTGGGCTACCAGGAATAGCATCGCTAGCGGCGGCTGCAGCATTGCCGGGAACGTCTGATTCTTCGTTGTCGTCTTCTTGCATCTTGAGCATTTCGATGCGATTGGTGAGCTTGACCATTTCGATACCACGACGAAGACGGGCTTTGGCCATGTAAGCCTTGATTTCTGGAAGCAAATTGTGATCGGTGGCATTCTCTCCGCTCAACCATGGATGCGCGAGTGCTTCCTATGAAATTTTTAGTGACTCTAAATTTGACAAATGCTAGTTTCTGCAAAACATACCTTGCTTGTAGATCTATCATCTGCACGTGGTTGTAAAAGATGACCTATGAAATCCTTTGCATCATCGCTAACATCCTTCCAGTATCTTTCATGGAAAATGACTCTAGCATTGCTGCACTCTTCGATAAGATCTTGAAGATTCTCGCTTCGGAAAGGAGAGTAACCACAGAGGAGTGTGTAGGTAATGACACCCATAGACCACATATCTACAGGCTTTCCATGGCCCTTCTTCAACATAACTTCAGGAGCGGCATAACCAAATGATCCAGCCATTGTTGTAAGAACTTCATCTTTGGTGTCGAGCATTTTGGCGATACCGAAATCTGCGAGTACGAGGTCGGAGTGAGGATCTTGAGTGAGATAGAGTAAGTTCTCGGGTTTGAGATCTAATTGTTGTTAGCTAAAAGTAAAAACTCATGTTGAAATTCCTACCTCTGTGAACAACGTTATTGTCATGAAGGTAGTCTACAGCCTCGAGAACTTGACGGATAGTTTGCGAAGCATCTTTTTCCGTAAATCTTCCTTGTTCGCAAATTCGATCAAACAACTCTCCACCAATAGCCAACTGTGTAACAATATAATATTTGTCCTGCGACGCATTAGTCGTTTCCCTCTAACCAGTAGCGATCTCTTGCTTACTCTAGACTCGAACCAATCCACAAACTTGACGATATGCTTATGCTTCATTTTTTGCAACATTTGAAGTTCATCATAGACCATTTGTTCATTTCCCTTGACGTTCTTCTTGAGGATAATCTTCACTGCGACCTTTCCTGTTGGGCCATCTGCCTCTCTGACGATTCCATAGGTACCAGCACCGAGGGTTCGACCGAACTTGTATTTGGCTCTAGGATTATAATGAGCAAGAGTATTTTCGCAGATGCATATTCGTGGACTTACTTTTTATCATAACTTTCTGGCTGACCATGCAGCTTGTTGAGCATACCAGAGACTGGAGATTCCGAACGACGATAGTTAGTGCGTGTCATTTTTAACAACTGATAATAGGAGGATAGAGCGAAGAATAATGAGAAGATTTTAAGAGGGAGAATAGTATCAAGGAGGTTTTTGAGGTACATAGAAAATACTTATTTTCATCTGCTAATACAGATAGATGTTCATTGTTGTTGGATATATTCCCCTCCTTATCAAGCTCGCAGGGAAAGTAAAGGGCAAATCAAACTCACAACTCATCGTGCCTGCTTTCTTGAGATAGCTATTGCGACCTCAATGATTTGAAGCTTCCTTAAATGGCGCCGTGAATGATTTTCGATATGTAATCACTGTATGCGCAAAGTTTCAATATGACGATTTGGAGAGAAAGTTGGAGAGAAACTCTTCTCGAGTAAGAAGTTCAGATGTTCAGAAGTTCAGATGTTATTGCGGAGATGTCTTAGTGGGGTTCGAACAGGCTGGCAAGAGATGTAAAGGGTTCAAAGAAAAGATGAGTTGAAACGAGGTTTAAATGGTAATTTATTGAATGGAATAGAATGTAATATGAATGTCTTACTTTATATCGTATGCGTGATTGATTGATATCAAGTAAGAAAAGAAGTAAGAAATACTTATGTTTTACCTATGGAAAGGTAAAGGACGACAAAGATAATGATGAAAGGAAATATCCATGAAATATCGTATATAAATGCAGTTTCTCTTTTTTCCCTTTACCAGGTACCTCTTCTTTTCTTCAGCCGCAGTTCATCTATTCAATATCCATATTCAATATATTCATCCCATGGCTCCATGGATACCATACTCTACATACATCCTAGGGACATCCACCATTCATCTCGTCCATTACGCAGCACCAGAATAATGAACGGCGGGGCAGTGATCAGTGGCAGTGGTCAGCCCAAGGGTTCATTCCGAGTTTAGTCTTTCCAAGGTTGGGTTTAGTGTGGCTCAGATATATTCAGGATGGATGGACCCAATTCTTTTTCCATCTGTACTTTCTATTTTATAAAGGTAGGTATCGTGTTGCGTATTGGATTGCCAGGAATGAAAGTTCTGGTGGAAAGGTACAAAGGTAGGTAGGTTGAGAGATCTAGAGGGAAATCATTCTCAGTTTATTGATATCAGATAGGTAATAGATATTAGGTACATATATGTGCTAGGTATATATATATATATATATATAGTAAATGAAGTAAGTATATATAAGAGTAGGGTGAGTAGATACGTGAGTAGACAAGCGGGTAAAATAGAGTATGAATGAACTGACTTGTTATGAGTTGCTTCATATTTATATTTACTAGGTATATATAGGTAGGTAGCTATAGATATAGATATACTCCGTAGTTATTAAATATAGGTATATTCATATTCACATTCATCCTTCATTAAAATAATAAATATACTTCACCCCACTACAAAGACCTCTAAATACCTACTATCTATCTACCTACCTACATATATCTACATACCGAGTAGCTTACCATACCACACTCGCATAGGGATAATGTAATGGATAATGAATGGATAATAAATGGATAATCCATCATCCATCATCCATCATCGATAGCCAACCAGTTTGTTTCTCATCAGCCCCTCCACCACTCCCAAGCTGGCTCGGCTGCTCACCTACCTACCTACCTAGTCCCTTATCATATGCAGGTTCCCATTTTGAACATTATATCAAATCACATTACTACGAACCTTCTCAACCATTTTTTTACTCGAGTATACTCTACTCACGAGGTACTCTACTGAGAGAGAGTAACAAGATCAACAATTCTCGACAAATCATTCACTCATTCACTCATTCATTCACATTTCGTCCTCTATTTTTGAACCCAGCGCTTGAGCTCTTCGCAAAGATACCCGTGGACCCTATTGTTGACTAGGTCTTGCAAATACATTTCGATTCGATTTCGACTTTACACAGCGCACAAGAACGAGGCGTATACATACAAACATACAAATATACATACATACCATCCATCGATAGCTATACCTACCTAGGTATATAACTTCACAACATGACAACCACAGGAATAGCAAGTAAACGTCTGGGAAAAGAACTCAATAAGGTATATACAAACCCCTCGTTATGTCATATCTCAATATCTCAAATCCTAACTCTACCCAAAGATCCACCAAAGTCTCCCTCCAGGAATAACTCTGGTATCCGCCGAAGATTTCAAAGAATGGCTTGTCGACATCTGCGTTTTAGATTCGAATCCTCTTTACCAAGGAGAAACCTACCGAATAAAATTAGTTTTCACACCTAATTATCCTATCGGTATGTCTCTCTCTCCCCCTCCCCTCTCTCCATTCCTTCATCCCATCTCCCTCCCAACCCCTCAGCTAACCCCTCCCCAGAACCCCCCGAAGTAACCTTCCTCGCACTCTCCACCCCACCACGCCCCATCCCCATGCACCCACACATCTATTCCAACGGCATAATCTGTCTCGATCTGCTCGGCACCCAAGGCTGGTCGCCCGTCCAAAACGTCGAGTCCATCTGCATGTCCCTACAATCCATGCTGACCGGAAACACAAAGAATGAGCGTCCCGAGGGTGATTATGACTTTGTGAAGTACAATCGCAAGAGACCGAGGGATATCGATTTTTATTATCATGATGATGGGGTTTGAAAGGTTTCAAGGGGAGAGGAAGAAGCTGCGGAGCGCATGGGGGAATTGGGGAAAGGGGAGTGAGGCAGAAGGGAATGGGCCATGGAAGAGCGCTTCTCGAGTGCAAGGCAAGGCAAGGCAAGGGAAACAGATGCGTGGACGAAATTCTAGGACATGAAAAATGAAGCAATACATAAATGGATCAAGAGTGCATAATTGCAAAGGTTGGGAAAGGATTACTTTGGTCTCTGGCATTACAGCAAGGTGTTTGAGTGGATGGGATTTTTTTTTGGCACGCCATTCCGTATTTATTACAGGTTCATGAGTTTCATGAATAGAATTTCCGAAAGTGGTTATATTATCATGATTTTTCTTTCTTCTCATTACTCATACAATCATACGCCCATCCATCATGTGCATACGTATAGACGCCATTTTCAACCCTCGAGCTACATTCATTAATCACTCTCCTCTGTGACACTATAACAATCCTACAAGATCTTTCTCCCCGTTCCTGCAGCCTGACTCATCAAGAACTTCTTCAGCGGTCCCATCGCATCCACAGCCCTCAAACCCAACGTCCTCCCCCAGACCACCGGTCCGCTCTCCACACTATACAACTTGTGCAATTTATCCACCACCCCCAGTAACACATGATTCTGCATATACCTCTCGGAATTATACGATTCCAGACTCATGCGTACCCCGATATCCATCCCATGATCCACCGCATACCCAATCCCCTTGACCAAACTCTCGACATCTCCTTGTCCTTGATTGAGTCCCTGGCCCGCTAATGGATGAATAGTATGTGCCGCATCTCCGACCAATGCGATGCGTTCCCCAATATATGTATCCGCGTGGCGCATTTTGAGAGGAAAGGATGCGATGCTGTTTTCCTGGACGCCGGTGACGGGAGCAGGGACAGTGCCGGAAACAGGTGTGTGTTGGAGACGCCATGAAACTTCTTCAGCTTGGCCTGATGACTGAGTGTGCATGTACTTCAAATCCACCGTGCTTAATCTGAACGCTGCATTCACCATAGCAATGAAATCTTTCGCGCTCAATCCTTTCAGAACAGCTGCGTTTTCCGGAGTGGTGCTCCAAACTAACGTTGCGTGGTTTCCTGGGAGAGGCAACATGGCGACTGGTCCTGTAGGTAGGAATCTTTGATATGCAATCTTACCCACGTCATGCTGAGCTTCCAATTCCAAAGTCGCTACTACACCCACACGACCATAATCCCATCCTCGACTGTCTATGCCTGCGAATTTCCTCACGGGAGAGTTTTGTCCATCTGCGCCGACTAGTAATCTCGCCGCTAGACTTTTCTCCTGTCCTTCCACCTTCACAATTGGCCAGCCAGAGAAATCCCCCTCCTCTGTCTCCTGTCCCAACTCAATATCCACAACTTTCCCCTCCAAGATATCTACCCCTCCTAACCCCTCTATCCTCCTCAATAACCCCCTCACCAAATTCGCATTCTCATTCATATACGCCACCACTTTTCCCTCTCCCTCCACAGCCTCCTCCCCCCTCCCCCCTCTCTCAACATCAAACCCAATTCTCCCCCCACTAACCCCATCCCAAACCTGCATTCCTCCATACCCCTGTACCCTCCTCCCCTCCACTTCCTCCCACACTCCTATATCCTTGAGAAACCTCACACTCTTCGGCGTCAAACTACTACACCGATTCGAATACTCCCCATCCTTCGGTTTCCAATTGAGCGATTTAGATAAAGATTGCGCTTCGATGAGCGCGAGCCGCAGATTACGAGTGAGGGGGTTTGCGCCTGTAATTTCCCATTAATCCTCAACATCCCCGAAATCACATACTCACACAACCCCAGAAAATAAAACAGAAGAAACCAAACCTACGCAAAGCAGCAACCAGACTCAATCCCGCCGGTCCCCCTCCCACACACACAACATCATAAACATCCGGACGTGAATTCGGAATCGAAGTCGAAGTCGCACCCGGAGGAGAAGCCGTCGTGGCAAAACTTCTTATGCGCCTCGTGCACGCTTTACACACGTAAGGATTGAGTCTTCTGAGCGAGGAATTCGAAGGCTTCATCCTGAATGCTCAGTATCGAGTTTTTAAGCAAAGGGAAGAAAAATCAGGATAATGTGAAATCAGAAGCTACCAGCTACCCTTGTACTCCTCCCTCTAGTATGTATTTCAGAGCTTAATCGAGAGTCACGTGTAGATATCAATTTATTGTGTCGGGCAGTGCAGTTCAATTTCTCTTCTTGTCTCGATCCAACAAGCTCAGAATAGAAACATATCATATTATTCTCTCCTTTTGTTTTCTTACGTCACTTTAACTGCCTCAAATTTATTTCTCCAAATAAAAGCAACATTGCTGTCAGTAAGACAAATCAACAAGCTCGAAATCTCTCTTGAGTCAAACCTACATTCAAAAACGCTATCGTTATCACAAAAATACTCACTTCAGCGATGTCGCTCAACATGTAGCCCCCTAACGAATTGTGAGTTATATCCAAACAATTCGAATCGAGGGAGGCTGAAAGTTGAAACTCTTGTTATGCGAGGTGGTGGACACAGGAGCATCGAGTTGCAGGTTGCTTAGAGCTCTGTCTAGGTAACCCCTAA